TCGACCGCCCAACGTACACGCGCGACTCCTAAGCAAATAGCCTTTCCTCTTTTCTTACTATCTTATGTCTCTATCTAACTTTTACCCCACCGTTCCAGAATGCCATTGCCTATTACACAACCCTTCTCTTGTCATGAATCATCGCCTGCCACCTGGATGACGCCTCGCCGCCACCAAGTCAGCCGACATGATACATTCGCGCTTCCAAACGAGTTCCAATGGGTCGTGGCGCTGTCGCGGGGCTACACGATGTCTCACGCGACGGCAACTTCAATAATGGTCCAGCAGGTGGGGTTCCGCCTTGTCTCGATAATACTTCGGGTGGAACGTGCGCCCGCTCATACTTGCTGTAGATGGACATCGCATTAGCTGGATCCACGACTCTTGCTATGCCGTATATCTGTACGTCTCCTCTATCCATAAGCCACTACTGTTAAACGACGAAAAGTCGATCAGGAACCCTCCCGCCCTCTTTACGCGCCATTATAATTTGCTTGACACATTTTCCCGGAACTGTCTAACTCGTAATACTCGTTGGGCACAGAGTGATGCGTTGTACGTGTCTTTCTCGTATCATTCTATCTTGGATATGGGATAGTAGAGCAGTTTGAAATACCCACTGCCTCTCTAGAGGGTGGACGAACGGGAATGCGTAGGTTGTGTGTCACCCCGCCTGTGGTAAAAAATGACAGCAACAAAAGAAAAGGTTTTCGATGTGACTGGACTCTTGCCCTCGACTCCCCCCCACCCCCCTACCCGCCATCATCTGTCTACCCCCCGGTCACCGTTTCCACCGGCTAAACCCCAACTTTGAAAATGAAGGGTACTCCGAAAGCAACAGGCTGCTAAGCAACGGCTAGATCGGGGGCACCCCCGCACTCGGGGCGGGCGAAGAACCGCTGGATGGCAGATGGTACGATTAAGCGGCAGCGACGACGGTGGCGGGATTTGGTGGCGGGGTGACAGATGCAGGAGGGGGTGGCACCACGCACGGGGCGTGAATACACGGTCCCCAGAGACGATCGCGATAGCTTACCTCGGTGAACTTGTTCGCGGATAAAGTTGTGCCTCGTGTGTGGTGATCATGATTGAAGCGGGGCAACCCAGGCATCGCATCTAGAAACCCGTGGAAGTTGAAATGACACATAGGTTTTCGCGGGGTTACTTGAGGTAGGTTATCCCGCTCTGCTGGGACTAAATGCACACAACCAGCGCAACCGTCCGCCCGCTGCTCTGTTTTCCAGTCGAACGGTGCAGTCTGACTGGGGTTATTCAAAAATGATTCCCATATTGTTCGTCACCTCCCGTGATGCGTTGCACGTTGTCTCCCATGCGCACGTCAGCCGGGACGACATGCCGTCGTCCACCTCCTCGGCAAGTTCTATCTTCTCAACGCTTCTGAAGACGTGCGCGGATGCATTTTTTTTATTACCAATTCGTTCACCGTATTTCCCGTGCGCAGATGCATTTTTTTTTTATCGTTCGGCCTTGCGCAAACATTATCCTGTGTTGAACTTGTGTGTTCACAGCTAACGCGCCAACCTAACCCCGAAGACTAACCGCACAATCGTTCCCCCATACAATTGGACTTTTGTCCGAGTGATCTCCTCGAGAAACTTGACTTTCGCATCGGTAGCTGCTAAGCTTGCTAAGTATAGCAAGGCACAGGGGGGCGCACCCGGCCGTTCATGTAGCGTAGACAAGTAAGGCATGCGAAGGATGGGTGCACCCCTCATATTAATTGCTTAACCCGCAGGCTACCTCGGTTGTTGCTGCGTTTTAATCTCCCGCAGGTCGGTCGAAACGCAACAGGAGTCACACAGCCAGGGGGGCGGTCGCTGGTCGTATGGAGGGGATACTAGCACCCGTGCCTTGAAGAGGGCGTACGCTGGACAGCGAGGGTTTTGCAAGAGGTCAGCGTGCGTATGTTCGGTTTCTCGTAGGCATGTGTATTGGAGCCGATTTCCACGGTGGCTAGGAACGAAGGGCACACATGGCAGTGACCGTGCTTTGAACGAAAATGCCTCTGTGAGGTTTCAGGCGACAGTACTGAAAGCATCATGGGAAAATTCTAATTCCCTCCTCGCCTTCCCGATCCGTGCAACAAGGTGACCATTTTTTTTCTATTTGTGTTTTTTGGGCGTAACCATAATCGTGGTCGAGGATAACCGTGTTGTGCGGGGTCGAGATCGCGTACTCCGAGCCAAGGGGACGCTCGTACCACTTTGTGTCAAAGCACCCTCGAGGCAGTTACACTGTGGTTGTCTCTTTAAGTGAAAGCACCGGAAAATACATCAAGCCTTTCGCAGCTGTCACCCAGCGATAGGAAGTAAGCACAAGATTCCGAACGCTTTGGCACGATGAAAATGTCGCCGAACATCTCATGGAGCTTTGCGCTTGATGAAGTGAGAGCCTGCTCGGTGGAAAGAACCTGGCGTGAGCCGTCCCGACTTTCCGAATATGCGAGGTCAACTGGTTTAACGACCACGGCATGCACGACCATGAGTACGCCTCCCCCCCTACCCGCCTGTCGGGCAATACATCTCTCATCCCTCTCTATATCTCATCCTCTGTAATTGTGGTTGTTTTGACGGCGTCCCTCTCTTTCCCCCGTATCTTAACGCAGGTTTTTGTCGCTTTATTTTTCCGTCGCTAGACTATTTCCCTCGCGTTGTGGCGTGTGCCGCGGTCGGCGCCTGGCTATGAAGGTGAGAGTCAATAATGACGGTGCAACACCCACGCTTTTGTTGGTGTCCTTTCCTTCGGTATATTGTGAGCAAGCTCTCGGCAGGTGTGGCTCCGAGATAAACCACAGCGCAGGAGCTGTATGTACCGTCGTTTTCTGGAGCTGTAGCGGGGGTGTTGCAAGAGCGCCTTGACCTCTGTGTGTATGGGCAAGGTTGCGACACCAGATAATGATTCATACTCTTAGCACTTTAGATCTGCTGGTCCCTAACCCGTCTTGCTCCTGCTACTGAAAAATGTAGTTGGGGAGGTCGCCAGGGACGCCCGCGGTTGGCAGTGTTGAGAAATACATGGACATTATCCTTCGCCTTTCACATTCTCGTGTGATCACAGCGTTATGTCTGTCCAACAGGGTAGGGGCGTCATTTCTCCTTTGCGGCGAGTGGACTTGCCTCAGACATATATGAGACTTCCCCGCCCAAGACGTTTACTGCTGCCTTGTAGCTGCTGACTTGATGTTGCGTGTTGGCCTGCATCCGCGCATGGACGGGAGAAGTTTGCGCCTGTCGTCGCAAGGAGCCTAAAGTGATGTCCGAGTCGGTATTATTTGTTTGGTACTGTTCCTAACCCTTTTGCCGTTGTAGCCAACTACCTGGGGGTGTTATATGTGGGGAGTATGTCTGGGCTCTCTTCGTTGAGCTTGCGCAGGAAACCTAACTGCGGCAAAGTTGAAAAACGCAGATAACCATTATTTTAACCGGCGCCGGGGGTTGGTTCTTGTCCGAAGCATGAAGCCCCCTAACCAACGTGAGCGGTATGCCTTATCATGTGTTTCTTGTCCTTATTTTGACGTTGTATCAAGGGGTAGTTTGTGTGCTTGTATAGGTTCCCGCCGGTAGTCCCCGACCCAGGCGTTTGCCTGCGACATGAACAACAGTAATATTTGATATCTGGGTTTTGGGCTATCTCGACGGTCTATGTGCCACGCAGGTCGTTATGCGGTGCGGTCGACGTGAACCTAGCCCAGGCCGTTATGCGGTTCGCCTCTTTGGTGAAGGCGGAGTTGTTCTCAACCAGTCCTCAGGCAAGATACGCTCGATTTAGGTCGTAGCGTTTGTCAAGAAACCTTTGCGTAACGTTTGTCAAGAAACCTATTGGTTGGTTTCGTATCAGCTTGGTCGCGTAAGCGTGTGCGATCTTCTCAGGTCGGATAGAGTTCACTCTGAATGATACGACATTCGGAGATGGAATACGTGGCATGTTGACCAAGATATGTCTGTAAATTTGTATTTGGCACGCACTACGATCTCGTAGACCCCAAGCTATAGCGCTTTCATCCGACTTCGGGATTTTGCTCGACTTGACTGTGTCGCGATCATGTGACGAACGACGAGAGTTTGCGAACGCCAGATTGTCTCTTCAATTTGTACCTGCGCTGTTGCATACCACGCGGTGTAACACGTGCGCCCTCATGATTGGGCTGTTTGTGTTGTTCCCGCCTGAGGATAGTCTGTCTTCTGTGTTTTCCGTGTTTCTCCAACTTGTTTTAGTGGCATTGGCGCACAAATGGATACACAAGCGGCTACCTGCAACACTACATCTCAAGTGGAGCACGTCGGGCGATGGTGTTTATTCCGGCCCGAAAGTTTATAGTTGATGGATATTTTACAATTTATTTGCCCTGACAGATCGAAGGATGCGGCTATGTATATTGCACAACACAACACGACGAACCAAGACACACACAACCACCTACTCCGCATAGGATAGCCTCTCTAACTAATCATCCCCACATGGAAAGCAGCATGATGACATGATTCCTCTAACTTACCCAACCTACACCGCCCCACATCAGGCCCATATCAACCTATAGTTCGCAATCGTAAGTCCTTTTGCCCTCTGTCCGCTGTGCTTTCATGTGACAAACTGCGTGGATTATGGGAGTGTATTTCCTGAGCTCGGTCCTGCCAGTTTGCTGTCAACAGAAAATTCCCAAACCACATTGCCGACATCAACCCTATCGCATATGCCTGAAACCCACAACCGATACCTCACTCAGCCCCCCCCCCTCCTTTACACCCTATGCTACGTGTTTCGTACGCGCCAGGAGCCCAGTACTCGCAGGAGGCCATTTCACCCCGCCGAAATCATCTGGCGTACAGGACCGCGAAGACGACGACGACGAAGACGACAGCGGCAGCAGAGTACGACAAGAAGGTGACGGGTTCGAAGAAAGTGCAGAAGGCTCCATCACGATCCTCACGGCTGCTTACAAGAAGGCAGGCGTTGTGGTCCTTTATCCTTTAAAACAGGAGCTGGCGATGGTGCTGTATCGGCAGGTAAGCGGAGCACAGGACCGATGTGGTTTCATCGTGTGCTAAAGGGATACTAAAGCGTTTGTGCATATAGAAAATAGTGCATACCCTGGCCGTGACATGTCCGTTATTCTTTATTTTTGCGTGTCTTGTGTTTGGGGAGAGGTGTTTCGATATCCTTTTGTGGAAAGACGTGCTGGGCGTTGACGTGTGGCTATAATTTTTCGGTCGGAGGGTTGGTTCGCCTCTCACGCTCCCGTCGTGCCTCTCCCCGTGCATGGGTATCCCTCGTTTGCCTCACGGCTCACTCTCTCCTCACCGTTGCTACCAATTGCCCGCCCCCCTCCGGCATTTAGGCCGCGAACACCGTGGAAAGGTGGATGGGCATTCGAGCGCGGACCCATATGAGATGCGCAGTTCTGGCCACTGCCGCTTTCGTGAAGGCGAACACGTGGATACGGGACTACCACCGGCCGTCCGCCCATGTCCGTCAAAAATATCCAAAGTGAGCGAACATGGCAGTCGTGGGAGCGTCATTTTAATTGTTGCTGTAAGTGTTAGAATGTAAACATTATTTTACGAGCCCCCCCGGTAGCCGTGTCAGCTGTACCCGCTTGACTGCAAAGTCCCTGCGCGCTCGTAGATTGACCGTCCTCTGCATTTCACTGAAAACATATGTGTTGAGGACGTTGCCTAGGGCTCCATCGTTGATTTCCTAACCCTAAGTGAGAACCGCCAGTTGGCGTGGTGTGTGTCTCCCAAGAACGTCACCGTAAAACCTGGTAACGCAGTTTCCACTTCAGCCGCATGTATGGCGGACGAGGCTTCGCCTCTTCCGGTTCGCTTCAGATATTTCCTCATCGTAGCACGTGCCCGCCTGTTGTGGGTGTGGCGTACGGTCATGACCTCCTTGTATTGGCCACAATCATGCACTTGCTCAGGGATTTGGCCGTGACATGTTTCGCCGATACACGGGCAGCGTCTCGGAATTTGGGTACAGCCTGTTGTTGTCTCAATAGCGGTGCCCTGAATAACGGGATGCCCTGAATAACGGCATCGATATCGCTTGGCACAAATGCATCCTTCAATAGCGGTGTTATCCCGCTAGTGAGGGAGCTGCGGAGTCCCCCCGCCTTACTGACAAGATGAAGAGGACGCCGATTCCGACGAGGAAGAGCTGAACGAGACGGGCGAGGTTGAGAGTTTAGAGGGTAGGAAGTTGATGGCGCCGCCGCCGTACTAGGATCTGTCGGAATTGTTCGGCCCACTAGATAACGCAGTACGCCCAGTCGTCTGGAAATGACGAGCCAGAGTATCTTCTTCGCAAGGCTAACATGTCGTTTCTCGCAGCCCAGGCATGATTATTTTGTTTCTTCAATCATAGGCTCTTCGGGAAAGCACATCAGCATCAGTAGGAGTGCCTGCTTTTTTTTTCAATGTAGCTCCAAGTGAACATGTTTTGTGTACACTTTGTTACTCTATTTGCACCTGTGGTTTATTGATTCAACGTTGTGCTATTTAAGAAAGAAAGAGCACAACGGAAAGCAACAACCTTGCTACTGACGTCGGATAACAGAGTCCAGGCACCATCAGTGTGGTTGATTCTGCAGGAAGGGATCAAATCCCATTACATCTGTACGGTTCGTTGCGTTCCTACTATTCCGCTACCGGGGGCTTGGTATCCTAGAGGACAGCAGTGCTGCACGATGGTGGTGGTATTTGACGTAGCTATGCGTACAATGAGTTGATGTCTGGGTCTTCTTTTTTTTTTCATGCCGTTGTCTTTGCCAGATCAACTTTTTGACGCGTGCATTTCGAACTGTTGTTTGCAATGCAGTTGAGTCCCTTATTGATTGGCGTTTGGTCTAGCAATGCGAGATTATTGCACAGGCCATAATGCGACTAAATTTCCCCATATTCCTACCCCCCGCCGTGTCTTTCGCTATACCATACACCATGAACCGGATGGTGCAAGCGGCAATCATGGCGGTTCGTAATGAGCCTGTTCCCCAAGGCGAGACCGTGGAGCTCTGCTTCGAGGAGATGCTTCAGCAGTCGAGTGCCAGATGAACTGTGTGCTACAGGACAAGGGCAAGAGCGTCTATGAGCAATCTTCGAGGTTTTTCGTGGCCACGTGAGTAACTGTTTCATGTGTGCTTGTGCCGCGTGCGACAAGCCGTTCTTGTGGGCTAAAAGGTTCTACTGTTTGACTCTGACGGGTTGGTGCTTGGTCCTGTTTTTTTTCATCTGTCGTTCGGGCGGGGGGGTTCCATGCACTACGAGTAGCAATCTTACGTCCTACATCGGTGTTTGCGCCCTCGCACAACAACTGAGTAGGATCTGGGAGATCGTGTATCGGTTCCAGTTCGGCCCCGGCAGGATTGCCAGCAAACTTCTGGACAGTGTGTCTGCCCCCCTTCAGCTTCAGCATAGTGGATTACTTCAAAATTCCAGCTCTTTATGTTTTTGTAGCTCAAGGTGTTTCCGTCTCGGTCCATATCCCTGCTTTATTGAGCCGAGGTTTTGGTAAGTGCGGGAACGTGTCCACTTATTTGTCAGGCCGCCTTGCAGTTTCGCTTTTCGAGACTCCCCACTCCGGCCCGCCTACGTTGTTTGTTTGCCTCGCTCTAAAGTCGGAACCCTCCCTGATCAACCCACCTAACCCCCCGCCCCCCTTCATAGCTGTCGGGGTTGAGTGACACCTGCTTGGTAATGACGTCGTAAAAGACGACGATACCATCGTGAGCTCAACCAATAAGGTTGCCGTTTTTTGTTTGCCCTTCGTTGTTTTTTTTTGTTTTGCATCAAGTACGATGATGGTCGAGTAGATAATATTGTGCGTGGAACAAAACCCCACTAGTGGCGCAAAGGAGATGATCACAAAACGTCGCATTTATTAACCTCAAGCACCCAACGTGCACCTATTCGCAATGCTTGCAACGAACTGTCTCTAGAATAGCAAACACCACCCTGGGAATTATGTCCTTCGCATCTGTCACCCTTGTGCCAGAAAGTAAGTAAAAGTTGCCAAACATCCTTTGCGGTCTGCAGCGAACCGTACATACGACTCGATATCTCACAGCGCTTCGCGCTTGGGTCTTGCGAGCCTGGTCCGGTGAGAACCCGGTTCGCTCATTCCCGGATTCTAACGGATGCAAGGTAACTTCATCTGACGACTACGGCATGCACGGTTACGAGTACCATCTCCTGAGGAATACTCCGGCCTAGTGGCAGCGAAACGCCGCATGTCGACATATTTTTCCATGAGCATTATTTCACCAACAAGAATTCCTCCCCGACCGGAACTCAGACCGAATACCAAACGTACATGGCTACTACCTAGAGATTCACAATCGTTTTGCGACTATGTGTAATGGTGATTATCCGAGTGCCTTCGTCCTGCCTGTGAGAGAACAGCACAAGTATTCGAACATCGAATGTATCAGCTCGTGGTAGCTATCACTTCGTCGTGAACATATTTGAACTAGTGTGGGCAATTTCGCGCGCGTTCGCAAGCAGCGAAGCCAATATGGTGCGCGCGAAGTCTCCCATTCCCCCACGTCACTCCGTTAAATAAACTAATTCTTTTGGTGCCAGTTGTGTTCCGTGCTGGCTCACTCGCCAAACCCCCTTCTCCAAACCTGCGGTACACCCAGGTCCCACCAACGGTCCGGGCTTCGACGATGACGGTGTCAAAAATAGAGAACAAGGTGGCGATGGGTTTGGCGGCGATGGCTCGGGCGGCGACCTAAGCACCAGCCTGGTATGGTCGAGGCGTTCGAGCAGGGTGGGGGCGACGAGAATGTCGTGCTTGTTGGGGAGCGCACCTACATAGAAATGACGGATGAAGGGGGGGGCAGCTCTTAGTGGTGTTCGTGGTGCTGATTAATCATGCGGAATTGCACGTATGCCAGGCGCGAGAAAAAATGACGAAATGAAGGTTGCCTTTCGTGCAGCCCGTGGATGATTTTTTTTTTCGTCGCAGCTTTTTGGTTACGTTTCTAGATGTGTTTTCGGCAAGGCCGTGTACTAATATTACTACAGCACACACAATTGCAGCTCGTTTTTACAGTTGGCTGGGATCGTCTTTCAGATAGGCAATGTCATGAATGCTGGCGTTGTAAACGTTCGGCAAAGTAGCACAACAGGGCCGTGCTGATGTAGTATTTCGTGTTTATTGGCAAATTCTCTCACGCACGCCCGTAGCCAGTCGTGTTTCTTAATCGTTGTCACTATGTTTCGGCAGTTTCCCGTGGTGGGGGGCTTAGCCAATTGTAGAGATTTATTTTTCTTTACGGCAGCTCTCTCGAGGTGGACCACAATATAGGCAGCCGTTTTCTTCGTCGTTGTCATGATTTCGTCTTCCTTTCTGTTGCGGGGCTGTTACGTGATTTGGAAAAAAGTTTAGGAAACTTGACCTGCTTCAATATCGATGGTTGTGGTCAGCTACCTGGTGTGTGTAGTTTCTAAGGTATCAACTCGAATGTTTGCAACGCGCATAGTGTACAACCCTGCTTGCTTGGGGCGTTTTTGACTAGGGCAAAGTGGAGGTTAACGATTTTAATAATCCCCCAGAGGGATTCCACCCCTACTTTCCTCTAACGTGTAAGGGACCAATGAATATCCTCTAGAGCTTTGGCCGACGAATATAGTCACGGTTAATCGGCCTGAATTACCTCTCTAGTTACCCCGCCAATATCCTCGAGAGCTTTGGCTAACAATACCCTCCAGGTTCGCTGTCCAAACCAGTATTGCCTTTATTATAGAACCATTTCGGGGATTGCAGTTGTTCCAATCCTCGGGAGAATATTTACCCTATCCATTTGCCTGCTTGTGGGGTTTTGTTTCTGGTTCGCCGCGCAGACGTGACGCGGCCCGGCAAATAGTTCTGGCCGTCCATCTGGGTTCCCTGGATCGGGGGATTGCTGCCGCTCTTGCAGCAGAGGAAACTCACAGTTCACAAACGAGACATGCCGCGGGTCGGGTCCCGTAGGTTCTATTGCAACATATAGTCTGATAACCGGACGCAGCGCCAATACTCACCAATGAAGGTACCGGGTAGAGAGAGATCGGGACGGTTTTTAATGTGCAGATAAGAACAACAACTCGCCGGAACATGACAGGCAAGCCGTCCAGACTCTCCGCAAGGTAGCAGTCATCACCCTAGTCAAGGAATACATTCCGGGGCCTGCTGGCAAGGTCCGGCAGCCCGAAGACCGAGGCTGCGCCTTTGGCCTAGTCTAGATGAGAGGGTTAGTGTTCGCCCACACTACGGTTGGTGTGTAAGACGGTTGCGCGAACCCATCCCGGGGGGTGGATGTCGGGACTTGCGTTTTTTGGCGGGACTGTCAACCCACGATTTCACGGTGACGTCACGCACTCTCAGGCCTCTTGAAGCTGAAAAACTATGTATAGTTTATATATTTTTCCTACGCACATGTTTTATAGGAGATTTGGACCACTCGGTCATCACGGCATGAGCAAAGTAAAGATCCCGTTCTTAGATATGCTTTTTTGGAATTGTGCTCCGGCGTCCGAATTGTGTAGAATTGCGAACCCTCCATCCATCCGGTAGATCGTCCCGTTCTCACTCACCACGACGGACGATACAGAATCTTTGGCAACGCGCCGTGTCGCCATGCCCTTGTTTGCGCTCCTGCTGCTGCAACTTACCGCGTGGTGGACTATGTTGTCAGTTCGTGACGTCGCCGCCGGCCGGTTGTCGGGCGAACACCGGACACAAGCCACACTTTTTGCGACGCCCTCGCCTGCCAACGTTGGTGCAACGTCCCCGCCGACACCACTGGGTCGCCTAGACATCAACACCCCACCACAACCCGCCGACCCCCAGCAGGCGGCAAAGAGAAGGTGAGCACAGTAGACAGCAGGGAGGGTTCTCTAACGGCGTTGTTGTTGGTGGTGCACACGCATAAGAACGGACGGGAGAGACGTGCTCCTTCGAGCACCCGTTGTTCGTAGTTTTGAACTGAATGAATGGTCGCGCCCCAGGCGAGCTTTTTAATCGCAATCAAGCAAGAAAGTAAGCGGAGTACGCCTGTCTGTGTGCCACGTTCGAGCACCGCACGTGGTCTCATACCCAGGATCGGTCATGTCAGTGCGAACGCAAATAAATATGCATGTGCATGAACATGTGCAGACATGGCCATTGATTCTCGTTGCAAATTTTAAGACCAACCGTCATATTTTCGTGCGTGCTGAACGAAGGTTACGCCAACAATCGATGTGCTGCGTGCAAGCAGTCCCATTCATAGATGGCCCTAATGCGAAAGGTTGCACAACTCACAGCTACTGATGATAGTCAATACCAAAGGGGCGTGGTGACTGCGTGCGAAGATACGACGCAGCCGCATCTGGAAGGGCGGTTTTTTAGCAAACGGTCACTTCTTCGTTGGATCAACGGCCAGTTTTTATTCGTGCTTCACGGCCAACTTTCCACGATTGCGTTTGGGAAATATCAACTACTACTCGGCCGTTTACAACACCCAGACGTCTTTGTCTATTGGACCCCGTACTACACACGCAGACTCACACACGGCCGGCCGAGCGTTTTGGTTGAAATTTATTTGGAAAGCAGTCTCTCGCCAGCTGAGAGGATTGATTTCACTGACGAGACCACGAATGAAAGTTTGCAACGCCAAAGCACTTGTTGTGGTGTCGTAACAATGCACTGCTGCTCAATTACGTGCCAACGGCTAATTTCCGAAGACCTGGCATGTAATATCATCAGCATGAGGTCGGCTCATTTCCTTCACAGGTAGGGGGACCGACCGAAAAGCCGTCAGGAATGTATGGTAAAGCGTTGTTAAAACTTTTATATGCTGTCATTGCCGGCGGTTTTATCTTGCTTGTTCAATTCTCCCTCATGCTCGCATGAAAATTAAAAGGTATTTTTCAATTACAAATTATAACGGTTGTTCTGGTGTACACAACAAAAGGTGTACAGTGGGGGTCCCTCTATAGTGCGTGTTATGTAGTGTGGGTGCCCGGATTAGTGCGGGTACAATATTGACTGGCCCAATTGGAATACTTGAAGTAGCTTGGCACCTACCCGCACTATAGAGGGCACCCCATTGCACCCCCTTTTGGGGCAGTATACCTGTGACCATGGAGAAAGGCATCCGCGTCAGTTGGACCAAAAACGACATTGGAATGTATTGAGCGGAGACGGGAACGTTTGTTTTGTGTGTGAGAAGACGACGACAACAACAACAACGGGCACCATCAGTAGTGAAGACGATGGTTTTTATGTCGTAGAATGCTGTGGGACATGGCATGCTGCTGTAAAATAGCGTACCCACCCGTACATGACCCAAGATGTCACAGCCCTAGGCCGTTCTATAAATTCTCTGAATCTCCATAGCGTTAAAAGCAGCAGTGGCAGTGCTAACAGCAGTAGTCTTGTCGTTGTCTCGTCGAGCACATTGGTCTCTTCGTCGTGCCCAAAACGAGCTTGTAAAGCCGATTTGGTGGGTGTGAGGTGCCATCTTGTGTAACCCGCGGGGCCCCCAGTGGGAGGACGCCAATCAATGCTGGCGAACATCGGAACCCGACGTACGCAGTCCGCGAAGGTAGCAACCTCATGTTTATATCTGTTGGGTATCAAACCTGCTGTCATTCATCGTAACCTGGGGGGTAACCGAAAACATACCAACTTCTGCACCCGTCGCACGACATCGTCGTAAGCCGAAGTCCGCAGTCTACCAAACTTGCGAATGGTGACAGAAATGAATAGTCCGGGAGGTTTGAAGTTGCAAGGGCAATGTATATACATCAGATCAATGGAGTTCGTATCGGGTCCACCCCCCCCTCGAGTTGCTAGGTCTATCAACTCAATGGAATTGGTATCAGGTCCACCTTCATGGGCGAGTTGCTAGGGCTATCAACTCAATTAAGTTTGTTTCGGGCCCACCCCCCCTCTGGAGTTGCTAGGTCTATCAAGTCAATGGGGTTGGTATCAAGTCCACCTTTATGGGCGAGTTGCCAGGGCTATCAAGCCAATGAAGTTTGTTTCAGGTCCACCCCCCCTTCTCGATAGCAGCTGACCGTTGGACTAAATATATACGCAATCAACGTTGACTGCACGGGAACAAATCCCGACAGGTCACTCTACAAAGCACGATTAGTTATTTTTCCGGCAACGTCTGACGAGGGGTCACGCCCAGAAGATCCCTGCTCAAATACCAGTGCTCAACCGGGTGGCGATGAGTCGAGAGTAAATATTTTTGTCGATGAAAGATCACCATCGGACTAGACGTTGTACTGCGCATCTAGTCCGAGCTTGTATCCAATACCCCCCCTGAGTTGCTAGGGCGATCAAGCCCCAGTGACGTTTGTATGGGATGTTAATAATATTAATCCAATGCTGATCCATGTCAAAACAGTTTTCATGTACATATACTAGCCCCACTCCTGACATATTCGACTTGGTTGTTGGGAGAACCGTCTTCCACACACGCTTCATCGAACTACTCTATCTAATGCATGTTGCAAATAAATGCGATTTTCGCCTTCATGTTCGTTTTGCCATTCGAACAGGAAGAACACCGAATCCACAAGAAAGTGCCGGTTTGTGAAAGCCATCAAGGAAAACATCGACTCAAGTGCAAGGAGCCATGCGGATACGTTTGGGATGTCCTTCGAACAAGCACAAAAAGACGCCTACAAGGGCGTCATGACCCACGAGATATGCCGACAAGTTGTTCACGACGAGTGCAAGGCAAAAAAGAACGAACACCACGCCGTCGTGCAGGCCGTGCGCGACGTGTGGTCAATCGTGAGCGGGTCGAGCGTCGTTGCAAGTGCGGGAGGGTATTCGCTACGGAGAACAATGGTGGGCATCATCGGCTCTCCCCGTGTTACCTTGGAGGCCGCCAAGTCCTTCCTAGGAGGAACCCTCAAAGAGAAGACGTACAAGAAGGCCAGGGAACGACGAGAGGAGGCGCTAAAGAACAACGATTTCGGCAAAATGTAAGTCTACTTCAAACATTATCCGGGCAT